TGTGAAATGAAACAATTAGTACATCGAAACTTCAGTTTAACGTACCCTGGATACTCAGTACAACATACTTTTCTCTCTGCATATGCATTGGATTCGAGGCCCCGTCGTTTTACCTTGGATAGAGTATTGGTACGGCAGCAAGAGTCAAATTGGACTCTTGACGTGGACGTGCAGTACTATCGGGCACCGAAGAACGACCAGGCTAGAATTTTATCAAGCACAGCATACCAATGTATACACGGTGACTCAACTGTGCATAGATCGTAATACATGAAAATAAGAACGGAGGCTGACCACCAGTTCTTTGGCGACCAACAATACTATGCTGTGACTTGATTGACGTCCCTTGAGGTACGCTCTGGAGTTTCGCTGTATTATAACGAAAGAAACAACGAACAAATACCAAGTGCAAGAAATACAGTACATAATGAATCAATTTCTTTTTGAATTGATCAGTGACTGCCGGCACTTGGTACTGCTAGAAAACTGTCCCCGTGGAAAATGGAGGAAGGATTTCTCGGAGAATGAAACATGCGGTGTGAAATCAAGGAGATTGTGGCAAAAATTCGGTGAAACCTAAAAATGTGTGGCATTGAACATAGAGAAAATGGGCGCTTTCGATTACATGTTTACGCAATTCTGGAACTGGGTTTTGTAATTCTCGAATGGCCAGAATGTACGAATTCCGGCCATGTAAACGAACGACTGGAATTCACAACGCATTTTATTCATGGCTTATCACAAACAAAATTGGTCGTAAAAAGAGATCACGTACACCCTCGCGCGCACGTGGACCCAGCTTCACGTACCGGTCCATCCTGCGGCCCGGTGATCGTGAAGGCTCCATGGCGGCAACAACATTGGGCTTCGATAAAGCTGAAAGCTTGTGCGAAAGGACCACCCAAAATGATCTGGTCTAATAATCAGCTCCCAGCGGAAACTCAACTGCGGCAATTAGCTTTTCGGGAAGACAAAAGTATCAACTACATGCTGTTGTAGCCCTGCTTTCGCGCCACACCGGCCAGGGAGGCTCTTCCTTGACTTGAGTCATGCATGACCAGACCGGTAATAGGGGTTTCACACTCGCGATTATTTTCACGTTTACGGCAAAGTATCATAGCCACAACCGACTCTTTTGGGGTTTTTCCCGAAACGGGAAAACGGGAAACGTAGACGTGGCACAGAACCCCCGGCCATGGTCACGATTACGTTTACGGCTATGATTTTTGCTGTTCTTGAGTTTCGGCGATCATGTGAACCAATCATCGTCCAGGAAACTATTTGGCGGGGAAATCCAATGGAGCCGACACGTGGCAGCCGAGAGGATTTCACCTACTCGCAGTCGACACGAGGCTTCTTTCTCATTGCACTTCTTGTCAAAACCTGGTACATGTAGTTGTGATTTGTATCTCCTGCCATCTTGCCCACATGCCTTGCAAGACATTTGACAAGACAACGGAAGCCATGCTCCTAGAGGTTTGGAGTGAGCTAATGTCGTCAACAGACAAGATGATGAAAAGCTGGCAGTCCAAGGAAAGGCGAGCCGTTGAAATCCTCAACTTTCGCCTCGAGAAGATTCAGAATGAAAAGCGGTTCACAGTGAACGAGGTGCGAAACAAGATAGACTCACTGATGCCTGCAGTGTCCATTTTCTCTGCGGCTTCACTTGAAATCCTTCAGCTCCATCTCGCGTTGATGTTGCGTCAAAATACTCAAATTCAAAATTTCCCCACTTTCCTGCACGGGTGTACGTGCTATGGATGATGACGCAAAGCTATCTCCATGGGAACTGCTGAAAAACGTGGGAGAAAAGTGTGAGTGTGAATGCATGGCCGTGAAGAGCTACGTTTTCAACCCCTATTAACGTGAAAATAAACGTGAGTGTGAAACCCCTATAACACACCAAGTGTGCAATTCTGGCGCCAGAATTAGAGAAATTCCGCCCTCCCTTCAGAATTGACGGAATTGCATAAAATCAATTCCAACGACGGAATTTGTGTAATCGAACTGTTCATCAACAATAATTAATTCTAGCCAATTTGTGTGTAATCGAACGCACCCATTGATACTGACTTCCATATTGCAGCACACAACCTACTGCTACCTTGCATTATGAAGAGTTCAATCATGTGCATGACCTGATGCTTTTTAAAGGGGAAGTTAAGCCTAAAATCAATGTTTCACCAGTTGTAGTCTTCAGGGTGCTGGGTCGAATGGTCGTGGTCCGAGGAAGCTGAGACGCTCCATTCCTCCTTTATTCCCAATCGAACTCGCGCACTTCCACCGAAACTAGGTGACTGCGCCCTACTAGATGGGGATTTGTATGCAAAATGTCACTAAAAGCGCCATTTCGTTCTTATAAAAGCACGGATGACCGTGATTGGCCCATATGTTGTAGTCTTTTGGACGCTGAGTCGACTGGTTTTGGTCCGAGAATGCTGCGATGCAACGTTCCTCCTTTATTCCCAATCAAACATGGTTGAACAAGCCGCGGTCACGTGCTCCTGCGTACACCAGTCACCTGGTCACCGTGCCTAGCCTAGCGCCTGCAAGGTACAATTTACAGCCTGTTTGACCTTTTTTGGGTGCACTCCTATCACTCGAGTTGAACCTTGGTGTGAAAGTTGTCGCCTGCTGAGCGGTGACACTGTGGCACGCAGGAGCACGTGACCGCTTGTCTGGGGTGAAGTCAGGTGTTCACCCCGTACGTTGCATTTCACATTCCAAGACAGTTATTTTGAAAATGGAAAGAAATGGGTTACGGGGTAACTGTTTTCCCTGCCCCCCCCCCCCCCCCTACTAGTTGGTAACTGTTTTCCCTGCCCCCCCCCCCCCCCCCTACTATTTTCACCTGGCTAGAACCCTGTAGAGGTTTTGCAAATGGTTGTGTTGGGTGAGTCAGCGGAACTGCTTATGAGCGATGTGTATGCAGAGTGAGTTGGGTGAGTCAGCGGAACTGCTTATGAGCGCTGTGTATGCAGAGTGAGTCGCAGTGCAAGTGCAGCGCTGTGCCGCGCGTCTGCGACTTTGCCAAAGCATTCCAACTGATAATGCGATCACATAACCTCGTGAAGAAGAAAGCCAACGAAAGCACGGCCGTGTGTCCAAGAACAAGGTAGCAAATAAAGGAGTGGCAAAATAGCACCGCACAAGAAAAGTAGACAAGATACCGTACTGGAATGAGAATGGCGTAACTCCTCTGTAGCCGCGTCATGACTTGAACTTCCACCTCACACAGCCGCACCTAGTCATTGGCTACCCAAATTATATGCCGCTCTCCACCATGGTCAACATAGTGATACATTTCACCCCGCTGATGCATTATTTTCTTCCGATTATCATCTTCCCCCTCCTTTGCATTGGCTTCTGCCACTGGACGGTGAAATAATAATAATAATAATAATAATAATAATAATAATAAAATACCACAAAGGCAGAAGAGAACAGAGACAATCGGCTAGGTCATGGGGTTAATGTTGTAACGCTGCGTTTCATGCATGTATCAAAGCTAAGGCAATCCTCAGACAACTGATTTGTATGTATGCAGAGTGCACGAGTCGCCAGTGCAAGTCTGTCCCCGGGGAAAATTGCGGAAAAAAATCGCAAAAAACGCGGCATAATATGGCATAATTTGCGGTGAATTTGCGGTAAATATGCGGTGAATATTATTGATATCATCTCGCGGCGGCAAGTTTGCAGTTGATATCAGGCAATTTTCAGTGAGTATGTAGTAAAATCAATCAGTTACAAGTCTCTGGTGTAAGCGCTCGTCATATTTGAGTACAGAGCCGCCACCGGATGAGATGTTGCTGACCGAACAGTGCACTGTGTGTACGTGTAGTGCAACAAAAAAGTTCAAAAAACACGGGAAAATCGTGGAAAATGCGGTCTTTAAAAAAATCGCAAAAAAACGCGGCCGCGGAATCGCAATTTTCCCCGGGGACAGGCAAGTGCAGTACTGTTGTCTGAGGATTGCCTTGGCTTTGCTATGTGCATGAAATGCAGCGTTACAACAATAACCTAGCCGATTGTCTCTGTTCTCTTCTGCCTTTGTGGTAATGCTCCATCCTTGTGGTGTTGAGCACTCTAGGTAATCTGGGAGCTCTCGCTATAGGGCTTGAAAGTGCTACGTCACTCCATAGCAATGGCATAGCAACAATTTGAAAAATTCGAAAACTGGATCCACCTGGATCCAGTTTTTGTATGGATCCAAGCACATTTCAAGCGGTCTCACTCACAGCAAGGTGATGTTGCCAGTGAAACTGACTGATTTGGCTAGTGGGGGCGGGGTGACAACTGGTGGCGAAGTAAAAGTCACACCTGCATACGACATGAGTGGGTTGCTATGCACCCACATACATGAGCAATAGCAAAGTCACACCTTAGTGGATCCAAAATAGAAATCTGATGTCAATTTACTACTCCCAGGCCGTTTTTGACGTCATCACTTTCAAGCCCTATTGCAAACTATAAAATACAAACCTCATGCCCTCCCAGGAGAGTAGAGATCATGAATATCTGCCCACTGATCTATTGCCTGGGCAATGAACACAATATCTCTGCTCTGCGTAGTGCATTGTGATTGGCTACCGCTATAGCGATTATCATGTGACTATTATTATAAATAAATTAATTCATTTTGTTATGTCACTCACTTGTATAAAAGGAGGCACCATCGCCTTAACAACTGTCAACAACAACACCAACAGTACATGGCACACAGAGCATGTAGCTCGAATGGGTTGCTGTCATGGCGAAATTCCTGGATTATATCATTACACTGATGTTACCAAGAGGGGGGTTATGGACTCTTGATGTTACATAATGCAGCAGCACATACAAGCAGAGTTCCAGCATGCTGCATGCTGCCGTGACAACTGCAACTCAGTTGTACACCTAACCATGCCACATTGCAGAAGATATGAATCAGATGATTGCAATCCAGGATTTTGCCATGACAGACACCAGGACACCCATGCAGAAAAAAAGGTCAGAAGAAGTCACTGTCTTGCTGTTATCTGGTCTCACCCGGTAATCATGGTAAACTAACAAAAGCTGCAAAGAACATGACTCCATCCATGGCAAGGTTTAAAAAATGCTTTAAAAAGGCACTTGTAAAAAACACACGAAACTCTCATGGAATTGCGCGCTGCCAACACGGAGGGTTTGTGACGAATTCTAGGCAATCCGTTCGACGGCTACTATGCAAAGCAAGGGTAATAAACAGAGGTAGAACCTTGCACAGGATAAAGAGGAAAAAGCAAGAATCACCCAGCATCAGCAGGAGACTGAAGGAAGCAATGAAAATAGTCTGATTGTATTGACATCACTAAACGCAGTAGTAGTAGGACTTAGTCTCATGTTTCTGAACATGCTGTATCTGCAACTGGATTTGTTTCTAGATAGAAGATAGATGAATTACATGTACAGTGAATACACTGAATGTGCAACCGTTGGGTGCATTTAGCTGGAGAATATGGCTGGCATCTTTATACATCACCACATGCAGTAATAATATGCAACCGTTTAGGGTTAGGGGTCTGCTACTATATAATATACTATGTACTATGTACATGAATGTTGCAAAACGTTGCACGAAGCAACTTGGTGGATTTGACCATACTGGATCATGAGACAGACTGCTCTGGTGGACTTGATCAGATCATCAGACAGACTGCTCTGGTGGACTTGATCAGATCATGAGACAGACTGCTCTGGTGGACTTGATCAGATCATCAGACAGACTGCTCTGGTGGACTTGATCAGATCATGAGACAGACTGCTCTGGTGGACTTTGATCATACTGACTGGATCACGAGACAGACTGCTCTGGTGGCTCACTATACGGTTCACCAAGCTCGCCCTGTTCAAACCTTATGACCGAGCAGTATCCATCTGTTGATGACATTGCTAAGAACAAGCCACATGCTGACCTACACATGGAGTCACAAGGCACCCACATCCGCATACCCACAGTCCCACGCCATCCACACATCCACACATGCACACGCCCATACATCCACACACACACGCCCACACATCCACACACACACGCCCACACATCCACACACACACGCCCACACATCCACACACACACGCCGCGGTTACAACATGTTATTGTTTCAATCACTTGATTCTAGTAGACTGGTATGCTTTCACTACCCATCTTGTGCCAATGAGCCCAATGCTGTTCCACGTGCTATGTCTTTTCAGAGTTGATCTTCTGTACAACCGCTGGGGACATCTACTACACCGATCTGCCAACGCTTGCCTGTGTACTCAAAGTCTTGCCACCCTCTCCGCAGTCTTGCGGAAAATGGCTGTCCGTACAACAGTGTATGGGGTTTCCGTGACGGCAAAATCGTACAAGTGTGTAGGCGTGTCCGAAATAAAAATGTCCGTATAGCGGCCATAAAGCGGACACGTTGCTTAAAGTTCCAAGGCCTGATGACACTCATGGTCAATGTCGACCTGTGGAGGGTCTTCGTCACGACCTCGCTATGCTGGAATCCGCCATGATTGAGCACTTTTCTGGGGCTCCTAATGGCCTGATGCCACAAGACAGCATATTGTTCACTGATCAAGGCTATGTCCTGGGAAAGTTCATACAGACACCCTTTCGAAGTATGTTTATCTTCCACAACAACAAGCAGCGCCCAGTGCAACTATGAATAGTTTGAGAGCGAGTGTTGAATGGAGATTAGGCCGAGTACAAAGTTTGTTTTCGTAACTTAAAATTTGAAAGTGTTTTTCGTCTCCTGTTGGCAAGTAATAAGTACCGTAAAATCCTGCCAGAGCGCCCCTCCCTCCTCGACGCTTCAGGTGGGAGGGGCGGATGGGCGAGTCCTACTTGCCGCATTCAGTACTGTACATGAAAAAGTACTCACCCTACGAAAACTGTTCGTGCATCTCGTACACCGACCGGCCGGCTTATGATGGAGAAGGCGCTCTCCTTTTTCAAGAAGCTCTACGCTGACGCAGACCCAGAAAGTTTCAAGGCCAGCACGGGGAGTTGAAGCGCTTCAATACCCGTCTTGGTATGTGTTGCGCTAACTGCGGGGCGAAATTCTGTCCGCGGATTCGTCTGCTGTTGGTCCGTTTCGTGAAGAGCTTCTCCGCGTGATTGAAGAGGACGAGTACTCACGCGACCAGCTATTCAAAGCTGACGAAACTGGTTTGTGGTGGCGAATGACTCCGTCAACGTCCCTGAATGCTACAGACACGTGCGCTGGCAACTTCAAAAAGGTCAAAGATCGGGTGACTTTGCTGGGTTGCTCAGACGCATCAGGATCGCATCGCTTGCCATTGGTGCTGATTAACAAGAGTGCGAAACCCAGGTGCTTCAAGCACATGTCTATGGACACGTTGCCTGTCCACTACATGTCGCAAAAAAATCATGGATGGACTGCAAGCTATTTGGTGAGTGGTTCCACCAGCGCTTTGTGCCATCTGTGCGCAAATTCTGCCAAGACAAGGGACTGGAGGAGAAGGCACTCTTGCTTCTGGATAATGCGCCCTCTCACCCATCGTCCACACTGCTGCAGTCCGATGACGGGACGATCAAGGCCATGTTCTTGCCACCGAACACCACCTCGATCATCCAGCAAATGGACCAGGCAGTGTTGGATCCCTGCAAGCGGTGCTATAAGCGTAAACTTCTAGCCCATATAATCCTGGAGAATGATTCAATCGACAAGTCCGTCCCCGACATCCTGAAAGCGGTGACAATGAAGGACGTCGTGTACTGGATCACAGCAGCTTGGCAAGAGGCAACAGAGGACAGCCTGAGGAAGGCCTAGCGTAATCTGTTGCCAGAGCCTGCCAACAACACCCCTGTCATGAAGGATGGTCTTGACAGCGCAGAAGCCCTTGCAGATTCTGCTGGCTCACTGCTGACGCCAACGAGCCAGGTCATCAAACCATGGACAATGATGAAATTGTCGCAGAGATGGTGGCGTCCGATGATGAGCTCGACAGCATTGATGATGACGTGGACGAGCAGGATGCTGCTGCTGCTGTCACCCCTGCTGCTGCTGCTGCTGCGGCATTCAAGGCTTTGGAGACTTCGCTGCCATGGCCGGAGACACAGAATGTGGAGGCTGAACACCTGCTTCTTGTAAAGAAGTGGTGTGACCAGGCAGCCAGGTTGAGGCATGACTCCCTGAAGCAGTCCACCATCACATTCTTTTCTTCACGTTAAAACTGGTGTGTGTGTGTGTGTGTGTGTGTGTATGTGTGTGCAAAAATAAGATATTGAAATTTGAAACACTGTTCAAAACGATAATTATATTACATGTATATGATGAACAAAGTGTCCTGAGTTACAGGCAAGATACGGACAGTGTCCTGAGTTACAGGCAAGATACGGACAGTGTCCTGAGTTACAGGCAAGATACGGACAGTGTCCTGAGTTACAGGCAAGATACGGACAGTGTCCTGAGTTACAGGCAAGATACGGACAGTGTCCTGAGTTACAGGCAAGATACGGACAGTGTCCTGAGTTACAGGCAAGATACGGACAGTGTCCTGAGTTACAGGCAAGATACGGACAGTGCCCAGTCCCAAGGCGCCCGGATAAGAGGCGTTCGAGTGTATTAACGAATTTAGTGGTCAGACCCGTACTCACTTTCGTGCACGGACAAACTTTCGGACCAGACTTGTGTGTAGTGGAGAAGTCACTTTATAGATGTACATGCTATGCGCTGCATGTGTGAATTATACTGTTACTTACTTTGGGCAGTATGTTTATCGGGCTCAACTTGACTTCAACAACAGAGTCAAAAGAATGAAGGGGGTATTTATTTCGGGCAGGTACTAGTACTTATGCACGGACTTGTATGGTACTTGAATGCGGCCAAATTCAACGCTTGACAATTTCTGTTTGAAACACACAAGGTTAACTCTCTATTTAGATTCTCCCCTTCCCGGAACGTTACCCCCTGATCACCATTATTCAACACAGGCAGGTAACACAACAACAACAACAACAACAACAACAACAACAACAACAACAACAACAACAACAACAACAACAACAACATTGTACTGACCATGAAATGTCAGTGAGCGGAGCGTAGTGCATTGATGAAAACGCAGCGATGGCAGTGAGTTCTTGTGTGTCATACAGCACAACACTCTCCAATGATGCAACAGCAAACACCATTCGGTACGGCAAACTGCACAATTGTCCACACAAAGACACACACAAAGACACACACACACACAGAGGCACACACAGGCACACACAAACGCACAGGTAAACAGATTGATACGAGTATCATCAGTTAACCGGAAATACAAATTACCAGGAGTCTGAGGGCAACACACTTCAATGCAGTGTTTCACAGCAAGCTAACTTGCATTTTTGCACAGATGTGTTCAATGTGTTCGACCTGAATAGTGAAGAGTGAATACTTTCTGACTAGAACATGCTGATCCACCTGTATAGTTTGGCCACGCCAGGCACCAATACAGATTGAGTTTTAGTTTCAACTGTGTACACACACACACTCAACGGCGATATTGGCAGGACAGACGTTGTAAGTTGTAACGTTACCCATTTTAGAGAACCAGACAATCAGCATGATAATGATCATGACAATGATCACGAGGATGCGGCAAAACACTGAGCAGATCAAATAACGCACTATAGAAATGATCATGGCGAGGGGAACAGACGGAACGAGGTGCAAAACAACATGCTCTAGTAGGGTGGGAACAAAATTGAATGCACGTGTCAAACAGTTGGCTACTGCCCATGGATACTGTGATGTTTGTGCTTTGATCGACAGGTTTCACTCGTGAGTTCTCACATCATAAAGAAATCTTTCAACTTCCTTGGTGGAACAACCTGTACATAAAATGCTCCTTAGTTATCGGAACAGTAGATTGCTTGTGTTACTTCTGAAGAGATGGCATCCTCATGTTGCCTGACGATTGCATAGCATGAAACTCAGAGTTGGAACAAACTAGCTTTGTGCCTTATTGTAGTGTGTAATACACTCTGCCTCCACCGCGATGTTGAGCACTCTTAGTGTTGCTCTGTGTAATACACTATGCCTCTACCGCGGTGTTGAGCACTCTTAGCTCATCCTCCGGTCTTTGGACACACATGTATCCTGCTTGTTTAGGCTCCATAGTGGGCTAACAATGTACTATACTGTTTGCTAGTATACGGCAGAATAAAGTTTTCGCATCTTACCTTATGGCTTGCAATTGGTTGTCCTCACCTATGTAAAGTATGAGAAAGTGGACAAAGAGAAGACAGATTAAATGTATAGTGGAAACTGGAAAGCTATGACAAAGTGAACCTCACTTATCCAGACACGTTTGTTCAGGAACCCAGGACAATGCGTCTAGATAACCCGATTGTCTGGATAAATGAATTCGTATATTTTCGGCTTCATACACATGTATGCCATATGTACGATAAAATTGCTGGAGGAAAACATCTGAATACTTCTCTTGATACTTCCAGTCTGCTTTGAGTGCAGATACTGACATCAACAAAAGCAAGCAAGAAAAAAGTGAGTCAGGATAGCCAAGGCTCCTCAAAGTTCAACACTGTACGGTGCAATCAAAACCAATCGAATTTAGGGTGTTGAGTCAAATGGTCTTGGTTAATAGCAGCTTGGGCACATCGCTCGTCAGATATTCCCAATCGAACTTGCATGAAGCTGCAGGAAGCCTCAGCCCTTTGTCAGAACTTGCATGCACTGGTGATAACCTCACGGAGACAAGCCAAAGATCCATACCCACACTAGGAGTGTAAGTGGCCGATTTCGGAAACCTGTTCGATTGGAGGACAGTGCATTCTAGCATCAGTGAACTAAGACCGCTTGATTCCAGCTACCCTCAACTAAGACCGCTTGATTCCAGCTACCGTCAACTAAGACCACTTGATTCCAGCTACCCTCAACTAAGACCACTTGATTCCAGCTACCCTCAACTAAGACCGCTTGATTCCAGCTACCCTCAACTAAGACCGCTTGATTCCAGCTACCCTCAACTAAGACCACTTGATTCCAGCTACCCTCAACTAAGACCGCTTGATTCCAGCTACCGTCAACTAAGACCACTTGATTCCAGCTAGTCCAGGGTTCGTAGCACAACATATACACAAAATTTCAGGGGATTTCCAGGGGCATTTCAAGGGTATTCACAGATGTCATACAGTCGATAGACACCACAATCAGTAGCCACACGCAAAAGTGCACTGATTCAGAATATCAATAATCGAAGATTTGATCTCCAACACAACATGTAGTAGAGCCACCATCACACTTCTTCATCGCTGGCACTCGTCGATGCAGCAGCAGCAGGGCGAACAAATGCGTCTATAGATTCGCTCTATTCAGCGGCTACGCAGCTCCACAGAACGAGAATGATTTACGCCTTTCGCATGTGGTTTCAAGCTGCCTTCGCCCATGCTCGACATGACAAACGACGAACAACACATTTTTTTCATCTCGCTAAGTTCCTATTCTCAGGTACGCGGACTAGCCGTCTTTGTACGGGTCCAAAGACAACCAGCGATCGTTGAAAACACACTTGCCTTTCGGCATGGCGAACAACAAGTAAAACTCTGTAACTTCTTTGGCATTCCGAAAAAAAACTGAAGACACTTTGTCTCGTTGAAAGCCAAAAAACCCAAATAAAACGAAAAAGCAGTTTCAGCGCTAGCGGCGGATTCCAGTTTCGCTACAGTCGAGTCAGGAACCGTCGTACTGCAGTCGACAGTTGAGCGTACATCGCGATCAAGGCTCAAACTTCGAATGCAAAATACCGTATACATCTACCCACGTATGCGAGCGGCACTGGTCGCGGAGGCCGCGGACTCACATGACCAGTACAGGGCCAGCACAGTCATGCTAGTCAGTCGCTAGACAAGAGTACGAGTACTACATAAATCTACCTGGTCACGTCACCTGGAAAACAAATTTGAGGGGATTCAAGGGACATTTTTTATAAAATACAAAATTTGAGGGGATTTCAGGGAATTCCCGGGGGAAGAAAAACTTTCAGGGTTTTCAAGGGTGCTACGAACCCTGAGCTACCCTCAACTAAGACCGCTTGATTCCAGCTACCCTCAACTAAGACCGTTTGATTCCAGCTACTCTCAACTAAGACCGCTTGATTCCAGCTACCCTCAACCAAGACCGCCTGATTCCAGCTACAGTCAACTTTGCTAATAACGACTGCGGATATAACGACAATTCGCGAATAACGACATAATTTTCATGCCCAGAGCAAAATCCCATGCAACTGTGACACATATAATGAGACTTCGGGTATAACGACACTTCGCGAATAAGGACACTTTTCTGATGCCCCGCCGAGTGTCGTTATAAGCGAAGTTGACTGTACCCTCAACTACATCTCAACATATTTCATTTCCACCAGATGCTCAGTAGCCCCGCTTTCAAGCGTTCAAACTTCCCAGACACAGCATGTATTGCCTAGTCAGTGACATGGTCAGTCAGTACGTCATTAGCTTGAAGTACAACGGTATAAAAGGTATCCAGCACACTTGCATAGCGCTGCTGCAGCTCAAATGCCGCTACCTGTTTCGACCTAGCGTTTTGAGAACATGTATCTATGGCTGAACGGAGCCAAATGATCTACCGGTATGTCCATGAGTAGTATAGCGGGCAAGATCCCAAATTGAAATACTTTTAAAGTGCGATACAGTCCTTAGCTAGAATGAAGCACGGGTCTTCGTTTGTTGCTCTTCGCTAGAATGAAGCACGGGTTTCGTTGCCCTACATCGAAAGAAGTACGGGTGTCGTTGTCTCATGTCACTGTCAGTGAGTCCAGTGTATATGCTACTTCTGGTGAGCTGATGAGTGAATGTCGAAAGTGCACACTAGGTGATGGGGTGATGTTCAACTGTGACATGCTACATGCAGGACTTACTTGCTGGTCTTTTCTGTGGTCTCAGTTGCAGAAGGTTAGGGCAGAATGAAACCGCTATTGTAGATTTTTGAGGACCGGGCAGATGAGCAGCCGGCCTACAAATGAAGGAAAAAGAACACCACAAAAACACATTGACAGTCTTGGCATCAGTATCCTTTTTTGTCAGCTGCATAATTATTTTGTTTTACAAACTTCAGAAACCGAAAGAAAAGGGGGCTTGTCAACTGGCAACCGCTCTATTCAGTTGCTATTCACGATCTGCACATGTGCTGCATTGGAAATTTGTATAGTTTCCTACAAGGAAAGGGCATAATGGATGGGACATTAGTGAGTAAACGTCCATTCCAATCAAGTACACAAACCAGAGGGTGCAACTCCGAATCTGGTTAGGTCCAGGGCGGAATGTTTCGTTAACGTTAACTTCTAGAATGCATGAAGCCTGCCGTACAGTTTACGCACAAAGCAGGCGCTGGGCGCTGACCTTCAAGTGTGTTGTGTGTATTCTGTTTTCACCAACGAAAATCGTGTCTCCCGTGCTGCTGAAGTGTTGACCGTAGTGCAAGTTTAGCAGGCAAGAAACCCGGCCAAGTTCACACGGCCACAAACTTGCAGTGCATGCCTTGTACAGTATGAGTCACAAACTCCCAAAAATTTGATGTCAGCAAAGTGTTCCACTGTGGACCAAAGCAAGCAGAGCTGCACAATCTGGCTTATACGTACTCTTCGTCCAATGCATGTTTCACTCAGTAAGCCCACCACAAACTAGCTCTTTCAAATACAATGCGGTAACATTATACAGTATAGACATGAAAACACACGTACACTTGTACTTGTTGCTCACTGCCATGACTGGTTACGCGAGTCTCCTCCGAAGAGGGGAGAGAGATTCAAAAAGGAATATTGGAAAGATGACTCAATTGGCGTACACACACACACACACACACACACACACACACACACACACACACACACACACACGCATGCACACATACATGTACACTTGTACTTCTCACTGCCAGAAGCTGGTCATGTGGTTCTCCCGGAAGAGGGGAGATTTGGCAGATATGTATGACTAAGACTCTGGCTTCTACAGTCAGAACAGGTGCCACTCTACATTAGGCCATGAAGAAAATCAGCGTGAGTTTGTCCAACACACAAATACGAGACATACCTGGATAGATTGTTCCGAGCAAATATAAATGTGGTGTTGCCACCTTCATAGCGTCCACCTGCAACCAGACAGTACAATTGGGAGAAGAAATGAAAGAATTTTCTGGTTCAAGGACGACTAATTGCATTGTTACTGTAAGCATTTCCCAAATGTCGACATGTATGCTACTCTCGCACGACTCATGTGCCTGGGGCCTCAGACCTGTCAAGTGTCGTGCATGCACGATGTACATCCACACTTCCTGCGATGATGTCAAGATCTACCATGTGTGGTGCACAGTGCAATGCGTGCATGTAATTGTACTACTAGTCGTAGGGTGCAACGCGGTCGTAGGTGGGTGGTCATTGGTCGCATTGAGCGAGTGGTCGGCTTATCCGAGCTGTTTTGAATGTGAATGTGTCCGTGACAAAGAAAAGTGGTCGCCATATCCGAGTGGTCGCCATTACAGGTTTTACTGTATTGACACACCATTTACACACGTACCCCCCCCCCCCCCCCCCCCCAATCACACACAGGGTCACACACACAGGCCACATGCCACCATGGTGTGGAGTACTTACAAGGTACTACCAGGAGAGCACCATCAGGCGAAAAGGCAAGACGTCGAAAAAACGTGTTTGTGCCTTCAGAAAATAACTTTGGAGGCTTGCTTGCCGGTGCCTAACAAGGGGAACCAAAGGAAACACAAAATCCAGATATACATGGGATATTAGAAGCAAACCCACACACACATAAAACCATGTCACATAAAACCATGTCACAAAACGTGCAATTTGCTTATTGGTGCATTGTACAATTCAGAACAGAAAAGAAAACGAAGCCAGACAGTGCCATAAGAAGACGGCATGGAAGCTTTCACCAGTGGTATGCCCGATGTCAATAAGGTACGAACTCGTACCATTACTTTTCAAGTCGAATACAGTGGTGATTAAAGAATACAGTGGTGATTAAAGCCGCAGCAAGCAAGTTCACACAACCGGCACTTCGGCGGTGAGAGCGGTGACAGAAATTGCACCTAAGAAAGCGCTAGTGCCAATAGTGGCACCAACTACATACTGAAACAATCAATACAGGTGTTGGTGGTTTGATTGGTGTTGATTTTCTTCTCCCTTTTGTTGACGGTGACGGTGATGTGCTTGACCATAGCTTCCTTTAGACCAAGGTCGATGTGCTACCCAGAAGACTACAGTTGAAATGTGGATGTACTCCCAAGCCCTCCCCTCTTAAACCTCAACTGAGGTGATGAAAGTTGTACACCTACAGAGAGTCAATTAATGCCAAACAACATACCGAAGGAGAGGCCGGTGCAGAAGTAATAGGCTGTGGCTGCTTGGAAACTTCAAACATTCTTTTGTAGCTCTTTGCACCAAAGATCCGCAAGCATCTAATAGCAGTACACATGACACACAAAAATACTATTACCGTATAGGCGCGAATAGAAGCCCCGGGGCTCTATTTTTCCAGAAGACACATCGAGGGGGGGGGGGGGGGGGGAGGGGGGTTATATTTGAGAGAGGGCTTTATTCAAGAGGGGGCTTTATTTTTCAATAGAAATATCAATTGTTTCATCCTATTCCTGCTGATCAGTACATGCAGTGACTGCACTCGATCATTGTACGGTAACGGTAGGTATCCATGACTGCAGTTTGGGTGCAATAAGTGCAACAATTGAACATGTTGCACGTGCATACCGTACACGGTCCATGTACTGCACTGCATCGTACGGACTTTGCGCGCTCGATTATAGCCCCGGGCTTTTATACGAGACGGGGCTTTATTATTTCGATTCCCGCTGACAGGCGGGCTCTATTCGAGAGGGGGCTCTAGTCGAAGGGGGGGGGGGGGGGCTTGTATTCGAGCACGTACGGTATCACTTAAATACCATGACCAGCGCACAAAATACTATTATCACTCAAATACCATGATCAGCACACTGTACACATGGGAAAGGGCAGTGCATAATAGCACTGTGTGGAGTGTGAACAAAGAGCACTGTGTGGAGTGTGAACAAAGAGCACGGTGTGGAGTGTTCGTATGCCTGATTGTGTACATGTGCTATATGACATGTGTCCCAATATATGGGCAGTGTGGCATGTGACTGTCAATTGTCCATGTCACCATGTTGTGCAAGTACATACACTGGGTAACAGTTGTTATGTTACAGTGGTCTGGCCCAGGATTGGTACTTACTTGCCCTACTTGTATTTGTAAAACAATGTTGCATTGTGTACTTGACATTATAGTGAAAAGAAGAAAGACCTTCTCTGATGAGGTCTCATAGACCAAAACCAGCTGTAAGAAGGTATACAGTACATGTACTCAGAAAGAATCTCCTGCTGTTGTGGGAAGTTAGTGTGGTCGGCCACAGAGCGCAACGGCGGTGTACTTAGAGAGATGAGTGACAGACAAGAAAAGATAGCAGTACATGGTACATGATCATACCTGTCACTGGACATTGTCACCAGGAAATCTCCCAGAGGGTCAACACTGACACCTTGTACATAGTGCTGGGCATCCGAGAAACACTTGAGTGGTTCGCCTGAATAGGCAGGACAGACAACGATACACAAATGAAAATTTGTACTTTTAGACAGTCACCAGAGGATGCAGAGTGTATTACACAGTACAACAGTGGAACAACAAGGCTAGTTGGTTGCAACACTCTGAGTTACATCCTCAATACAATGCAATCATCATGATGAAACTCAGCGTTGCAATCACTACTAGACTTGTACTTTGTTGTACTGTGCACTTTTAGATAGTAAATGTACATCTGAATACACACCCATAAGCAATGTCAGAATGCAGTAAATGTACATCTGAATACACACCCATAAGCAATGTCAGAATGCAGTAAATGTACATCTGAATACACACCCATAAGCAATGTCAGAATGCAGTAAATGTACATCTGAATACACACCCATAAGCAATGTCAGAATGCAGTAAATGTACATCTGAATACACACCCATAAGCAATGTCAGAATGCAGTAAATGTACATCTGAATACACACCCATAAGCAATGTCAGAATGCAACCAATTTCCAATTTTGCAGATTTGTTCACCAAATTTAACTCATCTCATACTTTGCACTTTGCCCGTGCGTTGCGGCTAGTTTTCTGGATTCGCCCTGTTGTTCTGATAAGAAAGATCAAGTGTCCCCCGCGTTCCTTGACGATGATAGACGCAAGCAATACAGCAGGACTCGCATGCTAGACTTCGGCACACACAACTTGAGTATGTATGCAGTGCGCCTTCATGTGGCTCAGCAATTTCTGTCTGGCCGTAGGTGAAATTCACCTGGCGTTCAATAGCAATAGATCATTGCTCAGTGTTCCTGAAAACAATGCAAGTCCACCATTGTCCATCACCCGATGAATACAGAACTCCCCAACGATACAAAGAAAGACAATGTGAGCTTTCAAATCGAACAACAGAGCAAATCCAGAATGTCACCCCTCCAACTTAGGGCATGTTCAATTGGTAGGATCGGGATCCCGACCCACTGGATCCACTGGATTCGCACCCTTTCGATTGGTCGAATCCGGATCCGGATCCTTCGGATTTGGATCCGGTCAACCCACCTCGGGGAGCAGAGTTGACCGGATCCAACGGATCCAAATGTGACCTTTGTGCGTATATGGCGGGTAAAAATCATTTTTGTACACATTGTGGTACGCACACGTGGATCGAGATAGAGCTTGTTGACTTTTTGTAAAACTGGCACGGTGAGTATGAATTTATTTTTATTACTTCGTCAACATGGCAACAGCCAAGGCCCAAAAAAGTGTCCAGTTGACTCTGAAGGATCCGACGGATCTGAGATCTGGATCCCGATCCTTACCAATCGAACATGCCCTTAGAAATAATCCGCTGGGTGGCTTGGATGAATGCATTTCAAATGGGACCAATACATGATACCGGGAGCATTGTAATCTGTGCATCGCTCTCGTCACCTTTGCTAACATCCCAAAGAATTGCAGTATTGTCAATGGAAGCAGATAATAGCGTCGCTGAGTCGCGTGCCCAGCTTAGATCATAAACATCCTCGCGGTGACCTCTGTCAACACAGAAGGCAACAACACACGGTACAACAATGAGTAAGAATAGAATTACGTTCAGATGTCACAGCAATTGACACAGTTCAAAATTGAATGTTCATTCTCTTCGCACATTTTATTCGCAATTTCAAATTTGGACTTCACAGAGAATTTAAATCAGCAAAAAAATGTTTGGTCATGTTCAAGTAACCAGGCACACCAGTTCATTTCTACAAACATAGGACATCAAGTGATTTGATATTATCTTTACATTTTACTATGATTTTAGTGATGAAGTGAGTTGTCAGTTCAGCCGAGTCTGACACGAACCGCGAATTTTTTAAGTTGTTAGTCACTGCTGCAGTCCTGAAATGATTGGGATGGAAAAGAAAAGATTGGACTACTCCGCGTCATGAAAGCCCGTCAGGGAGCAGCACTTCATTCTGAAGAACGGGTGTGGAGCATTGACATGGACGGTTTTTACGACATCCAGTCCACAGAGTTATTGTTCACAAACATCTCCGTGCATGAACTGGCATGACAAGTCACTGAAATCCACGAAAGGAGTCAGCCACCTGGAACTCATAGACTCCACACAAACTGAAGTGGAACGTTCATCAGATCACAAGTGCACAATTTTGGTGTACAACACGCTTGAGTATTGGTGTAGAGTAGGGGGGAATCCTTCACTGATTTAGTGCACAGCCATGAACCGATATCAACCCAATTTCATGAAACGGACAAGACCCAAGTCAAATGAAAATGTACCCAATCAGAGAGATACAAGATACACAGCATTACTATCTGCGGCTGGTACACACCCCGACGGAGGAAAACTCTAGGGTTAAAACTGCTCATACCTTCTCATCATCTTGTGATGTACCCAATGTTCCTTTTGCTCGTCCTCCTGTTGAGCGCCAAAAGTAGGGGAGCGGCCTTCTCCAAGTTTCCACAGAATAATACTGGCATCTTCAGAAACACACACACACACAGTACATGTTGATGTGATGAGCACTTTTCATGAAGAACTGTTCAACAACCACACCAGACACATGTGAATTTGGCAACACAGAGAAGAAGAGAAACCGAACGCCCTCCATATATAGGGACATTGTTCCCAAGGAGTTGATTCAAAGTGTTTTAGAACTCTTTCTGGAATTACTTACCAGCTATACTCTTCAGAACTGGTCAAATATTGATATCAGACTATAAATTTTCTCCATCTGCAATTAGGTGAGAAGACTGATGATCTCCAAAACAAAGCACTAACGATGTGCAGCTCTGCACATGGGATTTCCAGCGGCGAAAACTCACATCTAGTCAACCACAACCACTGCAGGAAATGTAGTATGCATAACTAAGGTCAGCATATACGCAGTCCAGCGCTGTCAGCGATTCTTCCACTTTCTTTCAGGTACATGTGTATCAGGTTCGTGAGTGCCCTTTTTAGTAAGTTTTCACTACTATATTTTTGATTGTGCTCACTTCCGTTAATCGTTTTTCTTTGTAATTTTCCACTCATTTTTGCTTTAATTAAGTTAATATTTGCTTTGTTTCCTAGCTTACTATTGCCGTGGCTGGCTCAACGCCCTTGTCTTAGGGGATTCTGTTCCTGCATTAGCTATGCTTGTCACATGCTATGAGATTGTGTCTAATAATAATAATAAAAGACTGTCGAGTCGAGTGCGGAAGCAGGTTTTGTAGCTCCGCGAGCTTAGCTCTTCGACTCCCCCACTGGCCCCAGCCCAGCATCAGGCTGGGCTGGAGGCGTAGTTAGTAGCCGCCGTAGTAGTTTTGTTCCTTGCCTCTGTTTCCCAGGTAGTTGTGCAGCGCTCGTAGTCGTCAGGATTTGGGCTGCCACCAGAACCGTTGAACACGGTTGTAGAGCTTCGTGCCAGCACTGCCCAGAGAGCTCTGCTCGGGAATCCCCAACTCGGTTCGAGAGAATGTCGCGTTACTGCTGTGGATGTGGTAAGAAGGGACGCTGTGTAAACTGCAGTTGTGTGTCCGCTGGCAAGAAATGTGTCAATTGTTCCGCATCGCGCCATGGAACCTGTCAAAACCAAGATCTGCCATCAGCAACAAGTCTTCCATCGTCCTGTCCTGCAGGGATTTGGGATGCTGGGAAAAGTTGTACCGGTACGCTGAACCACGCCGTAGCTACCTCACTGTCGCAACCAACTGACTCGGTCACTTGTACTCGGCCTGCAACTCAGCATGCTGGTGACGTTTTGAACGATCGTAGATCCACCGGTACGACAACGCCGTCCGGGGCATCGCCATCGTCTGCAGCAAGTGCACATGCAATCCTTGTTGCGCCTCAGACACGTGACCGTCGACAGCAGAGCCCCACCAGTACCAACACTGCACCCACACCTGACGTGAACGCCACCCGTGCTGAGCAACTTCTGGCGTCAGTGGTGGCATCACATGCTGTTTTGCCCGACTTCCCACCATCCACAAACCCTGTGTTCAAATGGGGTGACGTCCATGCAGGTAGTTTTGTCCCTACTGTAGAACGTGTCTATGCCAAGACCAGCAACTGGCAACGGAATTTGTTCTCTCTGCCGTCCGGTAGTGCTAGCAAGGATTTTGTCCGTGAGATGGCTCGACTCCTCCACGCTTATGCGTCGAAGTCTGCCCTAGAAGCTGTTGCACTGAGAGCTTGCATGATCATGCCTGCCTTGATTCTGCAGCGTCCTCACCGTAAGTCGCGCAGCCACGAGAAGCTTGACTGTGTCAGCCGGCGGATGAAGTTGTGGCAAGCAGGTGACCTTGATAGTCTCTTGCAGGAAGGACTCGCCATTCAGAGATCCCTTGCTTCACCCTCTGCACGTAGCAAGAATGCGGGTGATGATTCAGCACGCAAAGGCTTCACCAGGTTAATGCTACTTGGCAACGTGAAGGGTGCTCTCCGCTGCCTGTCCAACCAAGGGAAAGGTGGTGTCTTGCCCCTAAATGCTGACTGCGGTGATGGCCGTACCACCTTAGATGCGCTCAAGGAAAAGCACCCACCTGCCTGCCCCATCCCAGATGCAGATGTGCTATTGCAGGGCCCAATTGCGCAGCTTCAAGCAGTGCAGTTTGCCAGCATCGATGCCAGCTTCATCAAGAACATAGCACTCCGTCTGACTGGCGCTGCTGGTGTGTCCGGCCTCGACTCGACTGCCTGGCGACGAATGTGCTGCTCGTTCGGCGGTGCCTCTTCCGATCTGTGTGCAGCCGTTGCCGCAACCACCCGCCGTCTTGCCACGGAGTATGTAGATCCAGATGGTATTTCAGCTCTTGTAGCCGGCCGATTAATACCCTTGGATAAGAACCCTGGGGTGAGGCCCATTGGCATCGGTGAAGTTCTTAGACGCTTTATCGCCAAGGCCATTCTTGCTGTCATCAAGCAAGACATCCGGGAAAGTGCTGGTGCTCTCCAAGTGTGTGCTGGCCAGGAGGCAGGTGCAGAAGCCGCAATCCATGCCATGGCGGACCTCTACCGCAATGATGACTGTCAAGGAATTCTCCTCGTCGATGCGTCTAACGCCCGACAGTAACGCATTCAATACACTCAACCGGCAAGTGATGCTCCACAACATCCGCATCATATGCCCTGCTGCCTCTGTCGCTGTTACCAACTTCTACCGCAGAGCAGCTAAGTTGTTTGTGCATGGTGAGGTGGTCTTGTCTCTGGAGGGCACTACACAGGGGGATCCTCTGGCCATGCCAATCTATGCCGTCGCCCTCGTTCCGCTGTTGGCTACTCTGGATGCCTCTACCAGTCGTGTTCACCAGATATGGCATGCTGACGATTCTGCAGCAGGTGGTAAATTGCGTGCTGTGTGCCACTGGTGGGACTTACTCACAGATCTTGGCCCCCACTTTGGGTATCACCCGAATGCTGCCAAGACATGGCTAGTGGTGAAGCCATCCAGCTTGCCAGAGGCCCAGGAGATCTGTTCCGGCACAGGCATTAAGATCACTGCAGAGGGTCGGCCATATCTCGGCGCTGCCATCGGCACAGAGGAGTTCCAGCGACGGCATTTCTCAGCTAGACTGGAGGAATGGTGCAGCCAGCTTACAATGCTCACAGAGTTTGCAAAGACTGATCCCCAGTCTGCCCTCGCCGCGTTTGCACACGGTCTGCGTCATAGGTGGACGTATGCTATGCGAACCACACCTGATGACATTGCTGACTTTGAAGCTCTGGAGTCTGTCATCGCCCAGGAGTTCATCCCAGCTGTTACAGGCGTTGCTCCTCCATCTCCCCCACTGCGCCAGCTGCTGTCGCTGCCCCCTCGCCTTGGAGGTCTTGGTTTGCTGTCTCCCCTGTCTATCGCTCCACTCCAGCACGCCACATCAGTAGCAGTCACCAGTGAGCTCCAGGCCAACATCATGCGCCAGTCCCTACTGCTGGCCACTGACGAGGACACCGTGCGCAATGCTAAGCTCAAGGGCCGTGCCAAACTCCGTACCCTGTGGTCCGACACTACTGCCACCATCAGTGCAGACGTCAGCGACCATGAGCAGCGCTCCTTGGAAGCTAGTTGCGACCGCGGTGCCAGCTCGTGGCTGTCGTGCCTGCCCATCGCTGCACACGGCTTCAGCCTCGACAGGTCATTCCAGGATGATCTTGCTGCACGCTACGGGTGGCCTGTTCTTGGTATCCCTGACACCTGCTTGTGTGGTGTGCCTTTCACCACCGACCATGCCATGATATGCAGACGTGGCGGCTTCCCCATCATCCGCCACAACCATGTCCAGGACTACATTGCCGGCCTTCTTGGCAGAGTGTGCAATGCCGTGGAGACGGAGCCTGTTCTTCAACCCCTTGCTGGTGAAGCTCTTCCAAGGGCCGCCAACACTGACCCTCAGGCCAGACTGGACGTCAAGGGGAGGGGCTTCTGGTCCATGCAAGAGGATGCATTTTTTGACATAAGGGTTTTCTATCTCTGCGCGTCCTCTTACATGACTAAGTCCCTCTCTGCGACCTACAGATGGCATGAGGAGCAGAAGAAAGCGGCTTATGGTGAGCGGATCCGGCGGGTGGAGAGGGGCAGCTTCTCTCCACTGGTGTTCTCCTCTGTCGGGGGAGCTGGCGGTGAGGCCCGGAATGTGTTGAAACGTCTCGCCATTCGCCTGGCAGCGGCAACCGGAGACTCGTACAGCGTCCTCATGGGACGGATCCGCTGTGAGCTTGGCTTCACTCTAGTCCGTGACTCCGTCATGATGTTGCGTGGTAGTCGGAGGAAGGTGAATTTCAGCCATCACCCCAGCGATGTCTTGCAGCATGAGTCGCTCATGCCAGTTTGACTCGGTTCAATTTGTCTTTTGTGTCTGTGCATGATGATGTCACAGGTTTGTTTGCCAGTTTTGGTTCTGTTGCCGTTTATCCTCCGTCTTTGCTTTTTGTTTTGCTGTTTCCTTTCTCTTCTTCCTCTTTGCTCACGTTGATGCCATTTTGTTGTGAGTCCGCATGCTTTGACTCGAACTCGCAAGGTTGATTATTATCTCTTGCACCTTTTACTGGTTTAGGACTTGTGCCCAGTCCTGAAGTTATTGCTCATTGTTTGTGTTTTTGTTTGTTATTGTTTTGCATTTACATTTGCATTTATTTAGAACACATGCTCAATTCATGTGCAAGGTTGATTGCTATCCCTTGCACGTATCAGGGCCTGTGCCCTTTCCTGTTTTATTTCATCTCATAATAGTACATAATAAACCAATTTGAAACTGCAAAAAATAATAATAATAATAATAATAATGTGAGAAAAGGGAGAGAGTGTGGGTGTATGTTTGTGTTGTGGTGTGGGCATGTGTGGATTTGGCATCTGCCCCCAGCTCTATTCTATATCATTCATGCCGGAACTACTGCTGCATAGCCCCAAGTCTGAAGACTTGGCAACTTCACGCCTGCACCTGACTCTTGCGCTATGATACGCGTCGCCTATGACACCCCTCGGAATTTCCCACCTTGCTCCCCCTTATGTTCTGGCTGCCCGTTTTGGATCCATCAGTTGCCTGATGATCGTAGAGATACGTGAAACTCGGAGTTGTGACAAAGCTTCCAAACTCTCTCTTGTGTAATAATAATAATAATAATAATAATACTACAGGGAATGATGGAAATAAGCTAAAAGACTACAACTATAAGGAAAAGAAGTTCAGAAATATATCACTCCAATTATGTGTAGAAGTGACACGAAAAAAAATATAATGAATCAAGAAAACAGCATGCAAATCCAGTAAGTGACAAAAACGTAGTGACAAGAAAAAGAGAGAAATATCAAGAGATCTATTTCGCACCTTCACGACGAACAGTGCCAAACAACTGCAAAGACAACACATTCTCCTTCTGAACACAAAGCTCAGGGTCTAACTTACGTATGTACAAAGCTTCCAACACGGCAAGATGTAACAAAGACCTACCACGCGACAAAACAGAGAATACATCATCGGAATACCACTCACGACAACTAGCACTGCCCGACAGGTGACACTTGATTGCCGAGGTACCGTTTCCCTGACCCGACGACTTGGCCGTTGTCACCTCCGATATTGCCGCTTGCGAATCTCTCCCATTACGCCCTGCGTCCCTGCAATTCCGATTGCCTCGGTCGAGATCAGTGTGCTGCCCCACGTCCAGTCTGTCCTGCTTCCGTGGTCTACCTCGTTTCTTCACATTAACCGTTGTTGTCACTTCCAGTATTGGTTCTTTTGATTCGTCATCAATTCGTCTCCTCAATTGACTTCTGGTGACTCGTCCGGGGCTCGATTGTCCAGATGTCAGTTTCGGTGGTTTCCGTATAGGTCTCTTCTTCTTGTTGACTGTTGTTTGGGCTGGCTCCAGCCCTCCGCCCGACGAAAAGGAGGAGGCGTCGGCAAGCGTATCCACAGCGGACTTGGACAAGTCCACCTCAGACATGGACTGCACTGGACACTTCGGTGGACGACCACGCCGAGGTCGAGAACCACGTGCAGCTACAGGGACAAGATTCAACGGTACATGTTGACGAATTGATGACGAATTGATGACGAATTGATGACGAATCAAAAGAACCAATACTGGAAGTGACAACAACGGTTAATGTGAAGAAACGAGGTAGACCACGGAAGCAGGACAGACTGGACGTGGGGCAGCACACTGATCTCGACCGAGGCAATCGGAATTGCAGGGACGCAGGGCGTAATGGGAGAGATTCGCAAGCGGCAATATCGGAGGTGACAACGGCCAAGTCGTCGGGTCAGGGAAACGGTACCTCGGCAATCAAGTGTCACCTGTCGGGCAGTGCTAGTTGTCGTGAGTGGTATTCCGATGATGTATTCTCTGTTTTGTCGCGTGGTAGGTCTTTGTTACATCTTGCCGTGTTGGAAGCTTTGTACATACGTAAGTTAGACCCTGAGCTTTGTGTTCAGAAGGAGAATGTGTTGTCTTTGCAGTTGTTTGGCACTGTTCGTCGTGAAGGTGCGAAATAGATCTCTTGATATTTCTCTCTTTTTCTTGTCACTACGTTTTTGTCACTTACTGGATTTGCATGCTGTTTTCTTGATTCATTATTTTTTTTTTCGTGTCACTTCTACACATAATTGGAGTGATATATTTCTGAACTTCTTTTCCTTATAGTTGTAGTCTTTTAGCTTATTTCCATCATTCCCTGTAGTATTTTGACAAGAAGGGAACGAAAACGTTCAATACTGTGACACATGTCCTAATTGGCTGGTGGTGACTCTTGCGTAGATGCATGCGTAGATAATACATTTTTTGTAATATTTTCTGCCTCCGTCCTACTTTCAAATAATAATAATAATAATAATAAAAGTTTTGACCCACCATAATAATATTAATAATTATTATTACCATAGCTCAGTGGTTAGAGCATCGCTACAGTCCATTTCAAAACTATAGACGCGTGAACTCATACGTACGAGTCGTACGTACTGTAGCGCACGACAGCCGTGAGTTTTGCATGAGTGTTTTCTGGTTTTCAGATGTTTTTCAGGTTTTTCTTCGTCGCCGCGGGAAATACAAAAGATGCAAAACACGAAAAGTCGCAAATGAAAAGGTGTGAGAAAAGTCTCAAAAGAAATGAAAGTCTCAAATGAGTCTTCTTCTTGTTTGCATTTTCTGAGTGCCTGACTGTAATGGCTTCCAATGCCCGTAAGAATCTCAGTGATGCCGAGAAAGATATGATTAGTCGTGTTCATTGTTTCTTCGAATAAGAGCTGGATTTTGATTGACGCTTGAGTATCCGAAATCCTCGTCGTCGAACTCACCTTGCAACTGGCGTGAGTGAAACCGATGTCACTCGTTGTGTCAGGCGAAGGGAACAGGGAGGCTCAAATCAAATCAAAAAGAGAAAATATAATTATCATCCCTACTGTATTTCACCCAACAAGATCCAAAACATGCAGAAAAGAAGAGAAAAAAGGCAAGAGGCGTGATGGGATTCGAATGCCCCACACTTGTACTGGAAATCACGGATCGAAACCATGAGGCTACCTGTACCAGGACCTGTACAAAAATGCACCCGCGATGGTCTGGGCTCAGCACTGTCTCAGCAGGAGCAAAAATCCGAAACAAACTGGTCAAACCCTTAAAACAAACTGGTCAAACCCTTAAAACAAACTGGTCAAACCCTTAAAACAAACTGGTCAAACCCTTCAAAACAGAAATTACATGTAAAACCGGAAAACATGGCCTAAAAATAAACTTCAATTGTAGCGAAAACAAAGTATATAGCCAGAATTGTGAAGCGATGCAGAGACGGAATCTGGAGAAAAAACTAAAAATATTTAAATAAATCCCATCGAATTTTGCAAAACATTACGCGTCTATAGTTTTGAAATGGACTGTAGCTACAAGCGAGGGTCCCTGGTTCGAGTCCTGGTGGTGACAGTCAATTTTTTCTTCAGACTTTTCCCGTTTGTCTCTTTCCCTCAAACTAGTGAAAATAATAATATTGGTCACTAAAAATGTCTTGAATACTCGTCCATACAACAAGAGTACCTGACCACATGATGTGAGGTCTCACCACCAGCACAGCCTATACGAAATCCAGATAGCATTGTACACTCTGGGGTGTGTAATACACATGATGATCTGCTAACAACTTACCGTCACCAGCAGACGCCAAAAATTCACCTGCCACAAGCAACAAAACGAAGAAATACGAACATTACCCAACGTCACTTCAATATAAGACCGCCCAGAATTACGTTTTGGGTCACCCGAAAGTCTTTTACCATGACTGCAGACATGTTTCGCCCCACAAGTCAAAAAGGTGGATAAAATAACGAATCTATCGCCTCACCACTCGACAATGAATGCCTTGGTGGGAACGAGGCATAAAACTACTTTACTGGGACGCCGAGATCTGGAGTTAATGGGATCCTGAAAGTCAAGGGTCATCTACAGAACAAATTAAGAACTATGCTGCGCTGAGCTTGGCTAGCTTGGTGACTGACACAATTTAAAGGAGCTTTTACATAGTGTTTTTACATGGTGTTCTACAGTTAAAATGATCAATGCTATAAATGGCCAATCTCTAAAGACACTTTGGTGATTTCCAGGACTCTCTTGATGCCTACAAAAGGACAGACGCAAAAAGAGTCAGGTTCATAACTCCATCCCATTACGATCATAGCTTAATGGCTATTCAGAAATCTGGCAGTGGCTGCGGCAATATCCTACATTATATTTACTATCCAGCAAACATACACAACTAATACAGCAAAGAGAGGGCAAAGTAGAGGAAAGATTGCTCAAAACTACTACAAGGCACACAAGTGCTGTTCGATCATGACTTTGCAACGTTGAAGGGAACTTACCACAAGGAGAAAATCGAACAACATTCACAGCTCCACTATGGCGAGCTAATGACGCCAAAAACTCTACTTGAGAGCGACCTTGCTCAGAGACACTGGTTTTCCAAATCTAAATCCAGGTTTAAAAAATATATGAGCAAAGACATTCGACACAGTGAGACATTTCTTCCAATTATCCCAGTCCACAAAACACATACACACACTGCATATATGCAGCACATTTGTGAATACTGTGCCACCTTCACCCAAACAACGCAACACACACCCATGCCCATACATCCACACGCACACCCACGTGCACAGGCACGCATACACACTTGTACTTGTTGCTCACTGCCAAAACTGGTCACGTGGGTCTCCGCGGGAGAGGGGAGAGAGACTCAAAAGGAATCTTGGAAAGATGACTCAACTGGCTATTGAACCACCCAACGGCCGACATCCCCTGAAATCCCCAAAACTCTGGGTGGACTTGAAAATGATCCCACTTATGGGCTCACCACACCTCAGTAAGTGGGTGAGGACAAGGTGCAGAAAAAGGATTGACGGCATCAGGGTACCCGTCCTGGGATCCAACTGCAGTTACCCCTGCCCCCAGTGAAGGTAATACTTGCTACTAGTGTGGGTGGCTAAATCAGAGTGGATCTGATCTAAGCGTCACTAGCACCATTGATTACACAATAGTTAATCTAGCCAGAAGCAGTCCATGGTTAACAGGTATGTATACTTCAAATAGAAAGTATACGAACCCTGAAACCAACAAAGGTGGCAGATACAACAATACACCTTCAAGCAGCCGAGCCTGTTGGCAACAGACCCAACACAATCAGGCATAAGTGTACCCACCAACCGAACTAGCTGGCACACACGCACACACACACACATGCACACACACTGACTCGATTGCATTGGCTTGTTCTAGTAAATAACACGTTTCCTATATTTTCTATGCATTCTACATTACTTTTCTTGATACAGCAAGGCTAGGTTAGTTTGTTGCAACTCTGTGCCAATATTTCTCCTGGCATAAACACCAGCATGGCCAACTGCATCCTTGTGTTGTCTGATGGGTTGTATAGCATGACACTCAGAGTTACAAGCTAGCTAGCTTTGTGCCTCCTTGTTGTACTGACTCAGAGTTACAACAAGCTAGCTTTGTGCCTCCTTGTTGTACTGACTGTCAGAGTTACAACAAGCTAGCTTTGTGCCTTGTTGTACTGACTGTGTAACACACTCTGCCTCCAGCGCGGTATTGAGCACTCTCAGCACACTGGGTACATCCTCCGGTTACTTTGCTTGATACAAGTATTATATAACAGAACTATGTACATGTACATGTACATAGACACGCGGCTTGCCCATTTGTACTGCTGCCTACCTGCAATCCTATTGTAGGATGCATTTGCCATTTCGGGGGAGGGGGGCATCAGCTTAGATGTAAGACCATCAAACTTCAAAGTTCCGCCAACCGCCACCCCACCCCTAGACCGTAACAAACAAATGGCGTCATCTGAAGTGCTAGGTTGTAGCTTGAGTATGGCACAGGTGAGCACTTGCTACATTCTCCATGGCTTATTCACATGCACCGGCCAGACAGCACTTTCGAGCAGTTTTTTCAGCATGCAAAATCTAGATCAAATCCCATACTGAAAGCTGGCGATTGAACGGTCCTTTACACAACTAGAGCTTAGGCATCATGCCTGCCCCTCGTCCTTTTCCGATACACACACATACACACACGCGCACGAGCACGCGGATACGAAAGACTAAAAATGAAGAAAAAGAAGGAAGAATGCGACTTGTTGAAGCGCAATGTGCAATAGCTATGTCTCTGTGAACACACACTCATTTCCTGCGAATTCTCCAAAAAGCGATGCAGTCAAGTGTGGTGCAGTTGCATGTCAGTTATCTGGCACCCCGGGACCGGACGCTGTTTGATAAAATGGATATTCTGGATAACTGTGGCTACATAGCCATAGACGATAGTGTGTTCACACATCAACACAACTTCAGGGCATGATTCCACGTGTATTGTTGATGCTCTATTACTAGTATCACCCTGAGACAGTCAGCATGTCCATTTATATTACTTCGGTACACTACAGACTAATTTATATCTACCGTTACTTAGAAAGGCAATGCTCATGATGTTCAGTCCACAATTACTTGACGTACACTGTAAATATGCAGTGTGCGAGCTGGCAGCGCTGCTGGGAAGCCGATGTACCGGATGACTGAACACCGCGGATAAGCCACATGCAAATTTGTCTTTATATTGCGAGTCCTTATTTGTTGACTCGCAATACAGTGTCAGGCAGTTCATGTGTGCTATGACTTTCGTGTTGCTCTTTTGTTGCCTGCTTTGCTATTCTTTTTGAATCCATTTGAAAGTAACTTCCATGTTAGCTCTGATTGAATGTTGTGTGAACTACAACTTCAAACCAACTTCAAGTAGACGTACATGGAAAGGAGAGACTTTTCAATAAGCACTGCTAGCAATAAGGTGGGAATCGTGGCCATGGAATGTCTTTCTCAGGAGACAGTCAGGAAGGCCCCTAATTAAATCATTACTCTGATACATGGACGCATCTAAGCTCCAGACCAGGAAGCCTTGCTTTGACACAAAATAACACAAATTGTCAGTTTCAGTATATTCTGTCCTCATTGAGAAATTTAGCACTCAGAGAAATCATTTTCACTTGAACTGAATACTTACTCGAATCTCATTATCGGCACCTCCAGTTGCCAGACGTGTCCATTCTGAGAAAACCTGGAAATCCACACTCATAACTGGCTTCCTGTCGTGCCATGAAATTTCGAGTGTATCAATAATCATCTTCACGGCTTAGAGGGAAATGAATATCATAACATCGATTTAGGTGACTCGAATGGACGGTACGCTGTGTTGAGTGCTGAATACAAACAGAAATCACTGCAGTGCGGACCAATTCAGCACGTTTTTATACACAGTTCAGCACTTCATTAGTTATTCCTTCTCAAACATCTATTATAAAAGCGCCTTCCAAAATGTCCTGAGACTAAAGAATATTACAGCGTTGATGACTGTTTCATTCGCAGTGTATTACATTCGAGCAAAGAAATCCAACATGAAAATCTCCCGATAGATGAGATATAAATTCAACCAAAAGAGGTCCTCAACACCAAATGCAAGGTGCAAACAAACTGGCTTCTGGCTTGTTATGACACTTCAGACACGAATTGTCTTCTCGACATTTGATCGTTCAGATCGAACAGCTAGCAGCCAAAAGTAGCAATCGTTCGCCTGCACGAGTCTTCTCCACGCCGAACTCACACTTACGTCTTTCGGCGTTTCGCAAGCTTGATTTTCCCGCCAGACTAGTTTAGATGATGTCATCTCTGCATGCATTGTGAAAAATCTTTTTTTTCTTTTCAGATTTTCTCTTTTCACTCGGGCATGACGTCGCGGGATTCCGTCATCACACCAAACTCTGCAGGATGATTTGTACTAAATTTATTTTTATCTGTGGTGTTTATTGTTACTCTTTTGCTGGCAACAATTCCTTGCAGTCCATTGGCGTAGTCATTGTGCACATGTGGATGATCTTGTAGGATGTTATTGTCGTCTTGAATCGCAGTGAGGCTGTACGTCCCCGATTTCTTACATATGCTAAGATTGTCAAGGTCTCTTCATTCGTCAGCCAGAAAATTGTTTGAACGAAGACCATCTAGGATGGCTGCCCCTGAGCACCTCATTCCGCTGTTTGAAAGTGTTGGCATTGGAAACGCTTCTGGTTTGGCTAAAAATGCTGCTCTTGCCCAGCGTCTTGAGGCATTAATTATATCTGTAAGCATCGGTGTCATTGTTGTTTCTTGGAGTTGACCCATTTTCCTTGACTTTTATATTCTCTTATTGTGTGTTTTTTTCTACAACTTGCTGTATTGATGTCAATGAAATGTATCACTGGGTATGAAGGCAAAACGCTCCAATGAAAACCTCAGTAAACCTGCAGCTAATCTTCTGCTCAAGGTTGCAACAGATTTGAAAAAAGAAGCAAGTGATGATATTGTTGCCAAGTACGTGGCCACTGAGCAGATCTCTTCATCGCTTCAACTAACAGGTATTTTACTATTTTAGCAGTACCTGTACATGCGTGCACAATTCAGTTTACTACACTGTACATGTATATTTACTGGTATTTCGGCCATCCCTACCCAGGTCTGCAGTGTGTTTTCTTATAGTGTGAAGCACAATTCACATTACAGTATCACATTCCGCGGTACAACGTGCTGCATTTGACACTTGCAACAAGAAAGTGCCTGTCGTATTCAGTCAGGTTCAGTCATCAGGTTGCCTGATGATTGTGTAAGCGTGAAACTCAGAGTAGCAACAAGCTAGCCTTGCTTGCCCTTGTTGTTCTGTGTGCACTTGCGGCATACATCAATGGATCCACGGAATACAGTTGTTCTGCTGAGTACAGATACAGTGTGCATGCATGTGCTACTGTACTCGCGCGATTAGAGCCCTCTCTTGAATAGTGCCCCAGTCTCTTAGCCCGCGGTCACATCGAGCAAAATTCCGCGCGGAATTTGTCTGCGGTTTCCATGGAAAGCGCGGAACGGCGGACACTTTCCACCAGGATGCCAGGACGCCAGGGCATAGATTAACGGCCGGACATCGGACATTTTCCGGCCATTCTCGGCCACTGACCGGACGTTTTCAATTTCACCGGACATAGTGTCCGGTCAAAAAAGGAAAAAAAGAGCAGCGACCTTTCGACCTTTTTATGCAGAGTTGGGCTTTCTTCGGAGCTTCGTGCCAAATGCGACTTGCATATCGTACAACTAACACGTCTACACCGTAGCCTCGACCCCTCAGGCGCTAGGCGTAGACTTCACCATAGTCCGCCTGTAGCAACGCGGTTGCTACAGTCAATTCACACTTTCGACCTTTGGTACATGGTGTCGACTTCGCACCTGAATCGATGGGTTGAACTGCAGTGCAGTTATTATTATTATTATTTATTAAATTTTTAATAGGGCATTCCCACAGGCCTAAGGCCTTCTTACGGGTACCCTATATGTTTTTGTATAGATGTTCGCTCTTGAGAGGAAGATGTCATCTTTTATTTTTCACTCTTTCACTGACCAGGAATGCCGATAGTCTTTTAGAATGTCTTCTGGAAAGCGAAAGGGAGATTCAGAGGACTTGCCGCCGGGCAAAAAAGTCCGTGGTGTGAAGGCCGCTACTTGCGATAAGTGGATCTCGGACAATGATGCAGAGCTGACTACTTCCGCCTGGCTGATTTATGACCGGCAGAAGAACGATCGGCTGTTAGCAGAATGTTTGAAGTGTTCCGTGTGCATCGAGTTTGTAGACAGAGTCCGCAGTTGTAAAAACTTCAGCGAGGCTTTCATAACCGGATCCAAGAACCTGAGAACATCAGCGTTCAAGGATCATGCTGGAACGGAGATGCATAAACGAGGAATGAATCTTTTCCGCAGGCAAGAGTGTCCCGCTCGAAATGCCCTCGAATTCGCTCCAATTGCGAAGGCACTGTGCGAGATGGACGATGGTGCTGCCGCTATTGCACTACGCAAATTCGAACTGACTTACCTTCTCTGCAAGGAGCATATCGCGTTCGCAAAATTCTTGACTGCAACGCTTTTTTGTACATACATTTGTCGTCAGTAAAATAGTTCAGTTTCTAATACAAATAAATTGGCGAATTGTACATAGTAATGTGTGAGATACGTCCACATAATGAGTCATTGTGAATATACTTCAGTACTACTAAAAAAGAAGAAACACCCTGAAAATGTGTTGTGGAAAATATCCGGGCATGTCCGGACAGATTTCAAAACGGAAGGACATTTGTCCGAGCTAAATGAAATCCTTAAGCTATGCCCTGGACGCGGATTTCTTCTTGAGTTTTTGCATTGTTTGAGGGTGGGAATATCAGTAGGAATTTCGTTGTTGTCTACTGATATTTGGTTTCGACCAAGGGAAGCAGGCGAGCAGAGAAGGATAGACTACTGTATAGCAGGAAATTTTCGGACAAAGCCAAATTTCGACCTTTCGGACGGATTTTATTTTCGTACAGTGGTGCATGCTAAATGCACGTGTTTGCATGCGGTACGCATGTATAGTGTGCATAACTTCACAGGAACAATTTTTAGTACGGAATTAATTTTAGTACGAAAGAGGCCGTGTACGAAATCGTACGAAAATAAATTCCGTCCGAAAATGTCCTGCTATACAGTATTTGTTTGCTTGATTATTTCCTTCAGCCTTTCGTTCGATCCTGAGCATGGACTCAGTGACCAAAGCGAAGGCAATTGCCAAGCGTTGTTTGCGTATCAAATTCATCGCAGCAAACAAGTCAAACGCACAGAAAAAACCTCGCGGAGAGTTGTCCAAACTTGCAAAAGACGAGAGGCTGTGCCTGGCAAACGAAGGAAATCTCTAGTAGTAACTAGTTAATCTTTCCCGCGCAAAACCATTCCACCAGTCATCGCATGTTGGTGTGACTGTGCAGGGAGTGTGCAGACCGCCACTTCAGTCAACAATTCAGCCAGTTTTGGTGTGACCGCGGTCTAAGAGTCAATGAAAAATAAAGCCCTCTCTTGAATTGTGCCCCCCTGGGCTTGTAACCAAGCGCATGTGCAAGTTTGGTGTTCTTTTAGTAATGCTCTTGTCCATGTCATTGAAATGGTGGTTTCAGGATCAAAATTGCAGTTCTTCTGTCGAGTCGTGATAGTTTACAGTAAACTTTAGGCTTTTTTTCTTTGTTTTTATGCTGGATCACGTTCATGTACATGTAAATGTACCAGCATTGAAAAAATAGTGCCCTCTCTGGAATAGTGCCCCATCTATGATGGACATGTGTACCGCAGCTTGTCCCAAGTGTCTCATGTCGTGCATTACACCAAAAAACGTGATATTGTGAATCATGCTTGAATCATCTTTCTGAAAACTCGATGGGCCTACTTACTTTTAATCTGTGATCACTTTGTGTATTAATTTACTGCTATTAAAAGTTGAATACGGGACATCGATTTGTTATCCTATCCATGAAGTATTTATGTGGGGACAGTACAAAGCTTGTCTAAGGGGTCGTCGACAAATATCGAAGTTTTTTCACAAAACGAAATAATTTCGTTGTGGGGTGGGAGGGGGTTGACCAATTTCATTTCAGGAAACATGTATACATGTACATGGCCATAGGAGCAGTGACACCCTTGCGACTTTTGCATGTATTATGTCAACATGTTTTATGTTCTGAGGGGGGAGGGTTTGAGTCCAAACTAAAGTATTTTGTTTGGTGAAAAAAGTTCGATATTCACGGACGGCCCCTGCATTATCCAAAAGAATTTTGTCCAAAATTGGAAAACGTTTGAATTAAAAATCAGTGATGATGACGAACCCGGAGCCCAGTTTGCTCACGACAAAAACTCACACGACAACGTTGATCTTTTCTTATTGTCAACTAACTTTGATAACTCATCGCGAAAGCAAAGAAAATGCAAACCTCTCACGGCTGAGGTAAAAAGAACAAGACACTCTTTCTCTCACGACAACTCCCCCAAGCCGGGAGCAACAGCAATCTCAAAAGCAAAGAAAGCGCCGCGCGTACGGCACATGCAGGGCCATATACGCAACCTACGACAAATTAGCAGCAGCGCTGGTACAACAGAAATGTACAAACGCCGGAAACGTAAAGGTCATGAACCCATGCGACCCCCTGTCGGCGTGGACAGGGTGGCTACAGCTATAAACGGACTCATATCGAGCCAAGAAAGATACGCGACAGATACAACTCAAGCATAAAGAAACAAGAAATAATTAGTGCACTGCAAGTGCCAGCGTAATCTGGCATAATGGCAAATATTGCATAGTAGTGAAGGTGAGTCCTGAACAAGCAGCGTACAAAGCTTGCAACACGGACATGCAATTGTTGCATAGTAGAACAATGCCCGTCACGCACCAAAAGAAGCAGAACTAAGTGCTAAATAGAGGCTCTTCTTATCAATTCTCTCCTTCCTCGATATCTCATATCGAAAGTGTGCCATAACGGAGATCTATGCAAATTGCATCATTGTAGAACTACTACAAATTGTAGTATCACACAGATAACTAAGAACCTAACTCGTGATACACTGAATGGCAATAATGTGTCACTGCGATGACTTCACTTGCATGTGTCGCATACTACAGTTCACAGTGTTACTCACTCTGGTGTGGCTTCCAATGGGCACAACCTTGCAATAGGTCGCACAAAGGTCTTCTCACCAACCTTCACCTTCGCTACTCGTACGTGACCGTCTCGGCCTGGATACGTTTCCAGCACCCGTGCCAATGGCCAGTGCCCTCGTGGTGTATCGGGTGACAGAAGTAGCATGACATCACCGACTTGAACTTCACTTTGAGGCTTCTTCCACTTCTGTCTGGCGCTCAGGCTTGGTAGCCACTCCTTGATCCATCTCTCCCAGAAGTGGCGCACCAGTTCTTGTACTCGTCGCCACCGTCGTTGAGGATTGAAGCTCGTGTGGTCGACTGTTGATGGAGCAAACACACCTCCCATCTGGCCGAACAGGAAATGATTGGGTGTGAGTGGCGTCTCATCGAGCGGATGGCTTGACTGATAGGTCAGGGGCCTCGAGTTGATTAGGCTTTCTGCACCAACCAATGCACTTGTCAATTCTTCGTCTGTTGTCTCAGCATTTCCAAGTATGGCGTAGATAGCACGTTTGGCAGCTCGGACCATCACCTCGAACGATCCTCCAAAGTGTGGAGCGGCTGGTGGATTGAACTGCCAATGAATGCCCTGATCGGCGGTCGTCCGTACTATGCAGTCTTGATCCAAAGCATCGTGTAACTCCTGAAGCTCTCTCTGCGCGCCGACAAAGTTGGTTCCATTGTCTGATAAGGCCGAGTAAAAAAAATTACTAGATGATCGTCCTTTTTTTTGGAAAAATCGGGGAGGGCGGGAGGATTTTATTTTTATTTTTTTACTTTTTACCCTCTCATGCACACAGTGTACACAACAACATCAAGGTTTTTTTCTCTTTTTTTCTTTTTTTTTCTTTTTTTCTTTTTCTTTCTTCAGCAGATCGATAC